GAGTGGGAGCCCTTCCTTCTCCTCTGTTCCCAGGACTGAGGTCAGGCTCAGGGAGAGGGTCACTGGGTGCTTCCGCGTGGAAGTCAGTGTCTCGCGTGTGGAGAACGTGCCCCTTGAGCAAATTGTAGTCAGGCTCCTGGAGACCCAGGCCCAGGCTAGCGCGACCTGGGGCGTTCACATGCCCTTGCTGAGACGCTCCTGTCCTTGGTGGCGACGCCCTCAGCCCCACCCTGATGTCGCTGGCTGTGGGCCCCGCCGTCTGGGAGGGACTCTGGCGGCCCCGTCCTTCCCACGGCCCTCGTGCTGCACACCTTCCCTAGCATCTCAAGCACAGAAAGCACTGCCGTCTGCAAAGTGTGTGGGCACCATGGCGCTGGAGGATGGGACCGGATGGTGTGGCGGGCTTGGGGGGTGGGTACAGCTGGGCTCGCTCCTCGGGCCTGGAGGGAGGCTCTCTCCCTGAGCGAGACTGCGGGGGAATGCAGGGCAACATCATCAGCAGATCCACCCACCCAGGAAGGAGACTGGTGCCCTTCCAATGGCGCTGGCGGGAGGGATAAAGGCGGTGACATTTGAAAAGCAGAAAATATTGTGGTTATTATTTGAGACTAATTCCAGGACTCTGAGCACAGAAGGAAGAAATAAGAGATATACAAAGTGCAGTGTATCTCCTAAATTAGCCGACAACTAGATGGACACGATGTGCATGCCCACGAACGTGGACCCGCCAGCACAGGGAAGGGGCACCAAAAACCACAGACGTCCATGGGACGTGTCCATGAGCTGGTGCCTGAGGCTGGCGGCTGGTGCTGGGCACGAGGACTGGGTGCTCAGATGCTGGTGTGAGCGGTGGGGGGCGGGGGCTAAGAGACAGACGGACACACAGACGTCTGGAAACAGAACACGAGGCTCACGCACTAACCCTGCCAGGACCTCGTCTGGAGACCCAGGCCGTGTTGAGATGCTGCCACCGGCAAACGCAGCATCAGCAAAGGGCCTGCGTGAGGCAGGCGTGTGGGTGCGTGTGAGCCACCCTACAGCCGTGTCCCACATCTGCACATGTCCCTCCCCACCCTGGGGGCCGGGGAGAGGCTGGGGGCATCACCGTGCGACACGTGCCCTTGTGGACTTTCAATTTGGTGGGGAGGCCATCCGCAGGTCACGGCGAGGGGGTGAGGAGTGCCAGGTGGGCACATGGGGGGCAGGCGGCCAGCCAGATTCCTGACATGGGGACTTCTGGACACGTGTGCGTGAGGAGGGTGGGTTGCTCTCCCCCGCCGTCCAGAGGTCCCAGCCCTGCTCCCTCCCCGGCCAGCCCCTCACCCATGGCACCACCCCCTGGCCATATCCCCAACCTGCGCTCACCTCCCAGGACCTCTCTGCTGAGTGGGAATTGCCCCTCCCCCACCCCAGCATTACTTCTCCCTGGGTTGGCCCGAGGGGCAGCGGCAGTGGCTCAGGGGCCCTCCGCGGACCCCACACAGCCACATAGGGCCCAGCTCACCAGTCCTGCTGGGACCTGTGACCACCTTCAGAGCAGATGAGCTGGGGCTGGGGAGGGATGCACGGGGGCCCCCACCTCTTCTTGCTGAGCCCAGCACCCTGAGAATCTCTGGCAGCCTGAGTTTCTGACAGTGGGTCCACCATGGGAGACCCCGTCTCAGCAACCCTTGGGATGGATGCTTCTGAGCATGACCTTGAGGTCCCTGACCTTGGCGGTCCTTGAGGTCGGGAGTCATGGAGGGTTCCTCCTTGAAATCCTGGCTCACAAGGTGCTTAGTACAAGAAGGTAGTGGTGAGAAGGGCACTCGTGGACACACACACAGGTGGACACACACACACGTGGACACATACCCACAGGCATGCACACACCACTCGGACCACAGATGCCCTCCTTGCCCCTGAGGCTGAACGTGTCCACTGTTGGCCTGGCCGGCCCAGGAGCTAGGCTGGAAGAGGAGCGCCCACCCGACGGCAGCTGCAGGGTGATGCTCTGGCCACAGAGGCTCGCTGGACCCCGACAGACAGGCAGAGGGGCGGCTCCGCTCCCCCACAGCCTGGGCTCACGTCAGCACCTGGTCAGAGGCAGACAGGGGGCTGTGGAGACCAGCATTAATGTGGCGGCAGGATGGGGTTCTGTGAGAGGGTGTGCTAAGGGGTCACGCGGTGGGCTGACGGAAGCTTTCCCGCTAGTTAAGGATGTCCTATGTGCCACGCTGGCCACAACCTCTGTCTCCCTTTATCTTCAGAAAAACCCAGTGAGCTCAGCACAGTTCTCTCTACTCCACCGATGAGGAAGTCGAGGCACAGACAGGAGGTGTGAGCTGCCTACACCATCTGCTAAATCACGACCCACCCAGCCAGGCAGCCTCCGCCAGACCTGGGCCATGTCCAGGGCCGTGTCCAGGGCTGTGTCCAGGGAGCGTGGCCTCTGCCACACCACTGCCGTTGCCCCGGCTCAGGCCACCGGAACCGGTGGGCTGCAGGCGTGGCCAGGGTGCATGCGGTGTGGAGGGCTGGCCCGGGGCAGCCTCCGGGCACCTCTCAGCCTCTGCTCACGGCACGGTTGGGACAGGGCACCACGGAGGGAGCACATGCCATGCAGACCACGTGTGGCCATGCCTACAGCAGTGAGGTGGCCCTCACACCCTCGTTCAGGCTTTGGGGCATTCAAGCCAGAGAGAACTCTGCCCCAGCCTGGAAGTGGGCGGCAATCATGGCTGTCCCGTTCGGTGCATGAGCAAACTGAAGCCAGACCGCTCAAGTCAGCAAGGCAAGAAGCCGAGGAGGTGGCTTCCTTCGTCATGGAAGCCTTGTTGCCAGGGCTGGAGGCTCGGCGTGTCTCCCCCGATCACGGAGACGGACTCACGGGACACTTCTCCCCGCCAGGGGCACTGGCTTGGGAGAGGGGAGGAGGGGAGAGCCATGCTCAGGTGAAGGTCAGCCTCCAAGAGTCCGGGCTGTTTGTTATGCAGCCTGACCCAGCCCATCCTCACTGATACACCTCTGGCTCTGGATGGAGGCGGTCATCCTTATTTGTATGAACCCTGGTGGTCATGAAGCTCATTATCCTTTTCTCTAGCTTCACTGTTTGTGTATTTCCCTGCAACGCACCCAGAAGACTGGGGAATGGTGACGTCGGGCCCCCAAGCTGTGTAAGCAGCTCAGGTGGCCGAGCCTCCTGGGAACTCCTACTCCAACCACGTTTCCTCCCTGCGGACTGACTCCCTCCTGCACCTCGGGCTTGTCCTTCCTCTGCATGGAGGAAGGAGGCGTGACCCTGTCCTGGTCACGCGGGACTGTCCCGTCTGTGCTCTGATGGCAGAGCCCAAGACTGCCCACCAAGGTGTGCCCCTGCCGTCCAGGGAGTCCAGGGGCCACTGCTGGGCCTGCACTCTGCCCCCTCCTCCCTCCCAGGACAAGCCCGCTCTGTGCCACCACAATGCCGCCAAAGGCCAGGGACGTCTCCTTAAGCTCAGGAGCAGACTTTAAACTGCCTTTGACTGACCCACCCAGCCACAGCCCTGGGGTTCATGTTTTATAAAGAGCGGCCAGAAACGAACAGACGTGGCTTTTCCCAACCCCGTCCAGATTCAGCTCTAGGACTCTGGGCGGCAGAAACCGTCTGACGACAAAGACCACTCTTTGCAGATCTGAGCAGATTTCCCGGGAAAGGGGAAATCTTTTTGACATGGGTCTCCTTTGGGGTTCTACTTTTCTGTGTCCGGGACTTGGCCGCCGTGCAGGAGGGGGTGGGCACTCACACACAGGGTGGGGGGATCCCCAAGTAGCTGGAGGCCGGGTGCTGTCCACTTGCCAGGGAGGGGCTCCCAGAAGAACCGGACAGGTCCAGGCAGGCCCGGGAAGGAGGACCCTGCCAGCCACGCCTGCCATGGCCCCCTCCCAGGACACCCCAGCCCGCGAACAAAAGCCATGCTTACCAAAGGATTTTTTCTTTATTTTCATAATTTAGCTGAATCAACACAAAATTGAATACTGTAAAACAAGGAAAAAAACGCTGTAACATCTTAAACCTCCAGTGTCTGCCTCCAAAGGGGTCTACACTTGCCGTGGGAAGACACAGGCTCAGGGAGGTGGCAGAGACCCTCCCACGGCCACTGCCCCGTCTGCGCTGGGAGCCCAGCACCCACCGTATCTCTCCCTCCAGACACTCAGGCCTCTGAATGTGTGGTGACTGGAAGGGTAAATTAAATACTCATGGACATCGAAACGGGTCTTAAATAAATGGGTCTTCTCTCCTATCTTTAGTCTATGGGTTGCTGGGACAGCTTCTATATATTTATTATTATTATTATTTTTTTTTTACTTTTTCTTTCTTTCTTTTTTTTTTAGTAGCATAGAACTAGCATAGTGCGCCTGTTAATTGGACCGTCAGGTAGTATAGTTCTGCACAAACTCAGGAGAATGAAGGACCCCACGGGACCACGGCCTGGTCCAGGGACGGAGACGCGGAACTGTCCCTTGCTCGTTGGGCCCGGCGACCCCGTGCTCCGGGGAGGGTGCGGGAAGGTCAGGCGCCTGCCATTCTCTGCAGGGCGGCCTGCCCCAGTGACTCGGCGGCAGACGTGAAGACAGAGAGGGAGCGGGACATCGACCGGGAGAGGAGGTCGGCGGCGGCGGCCTCAGAATCTGCCCGTGGGGGAGGGTCAGGAAAAGGGACACGGTATCCGTCGGAAGGGGTGTGACCGACAAATCGCGCACTCGGCCTTCACCGAGCCGGGCCCAAGGCGGGTGAGGAAGGCCACCTCCCCACGGGCACCCGCCGCGGCTCCTGGGACGTCAGGCACGTCCTCGGCGGCTGTCCCGGAGTCCTGCCTGACCGTGCCCGGCTCCCCCCGTGCCCACCCCGGAGCCCTTCAGAGACACCAGCGCTCCGCCTGCCAAGCGGGCCGACTGGGGGCTACCACATTAATTGTTAAATAGGATTTTCTACAAATATACAACATATAAAAACTGTTAAATATATAACTTTAGGCTTTGCAAAATACATTTAATGATCTCTTCCAAACAAGTGTTACTTTAGGTTTCTTTAATTTGCTTTCTGGAGCTAAATGGTGTGTCGAGCAGACAGCAGTCACGGGAGACCCAACATGCTCTTGGCGAATACTGGATTATCCCACTATCAGAAATGAGCTGTAGAGAGGCATGTTTAACTGGTTAAAACAGAAAGTGATTTTAGTCGGTCAAGTCCATCTAAGTACAGAGGAGCAGGGTGTGTGCGGTGGTCTGTGTTCCCGGCGAGCGGCGCTGGCCCGCGGGGTCCGCGTGGGGGCATCACTGGCCGGGCCCTGCAGGGCTGCCGTGGTGTCCTCCGCAGGCTCGGCCCCTCTCAGTGCGCCCCGCAGTGTTCGTGGTGGTGACACCTGTGCTGGGGCCGCCCTCCGCGTCCCACCGGGGCCGCCGGCATGTCTCTGCCCCCGCGTCCCCCCGGCGAACCCAGGGACTCTGACGGTGAGGGCGAGTCCAAGTTAAAATAGATTTTGCTCTTTGGTCTATTGGGTATACTGAAAGGGTACGAAAATAAAAGTGATTCGCACAGTCTGGGGGGCGAGGAGAGGCCTCTTCTGAGCCCGAGGGCCCGTGCTCCCCTGGGCCCGGCGCTGTCCTCCTCTCCCGGGCTGGCTGGGTGGTCGCCCCTGTGGCTGCCACCTCGTCCTCCTCGGAGAGCACAGCCCAGGCCGCGGCCAGGGAGGGCGGGTGAAGCCAGGCTGCCACAGATGCCCAGCGTGGCCCCCGCTGTGTGGCCCAGGCCAGACTCCTCGCTGTGGCGGACACGCTCAGCTCAGGACGCCAAGGAAGTGGGCCGTCCTTGACGGGCGGGCTACAGAGAGACGGAGGGCGGGCAGAGAGCGGACAACAGGTGGAGTCCACGGCAGACAGAGGACCGTGGCTGAGGTGTGGCCACTCCCGGGGCCCCTCTGGGGCTGCGTTTGTCAGGAGACCTGAAGGACAGAGAGAAGAGAGCGTCAGCCCCATAGACACCAAGGGTCCCCACTGGGAACCGACAAGCCCAGGACACGCCCACCTGTCTGGCCTCGTGCACGGGGCACAGCGCATCCCAGAGGCCGGTCCTCCTCTCTCCCCGACTCAGGCCTGCACACCTGCTCGAGGACATGACACTAGACTCAGGCTACACCTGCCACACGGAGCGGCTCCTGGAAACACCGGCCTTCCTCTGTGCATGGTGGGGACCTGGCCCCCCTGGCCTGGGCATGACCAGAGAGGGCTCACGCCCCGAGCACTGCTGGCTCAGGACACCACCTACGTATCCTCGGCCCTGTGCCATGTACACAGCAGGTGTTGCATAATTGCACGGTGATAAGTGATAGGAATGCATGTGTCACACACCCGTGGAGCCACCGGGAGGCCACAGAGGTGAGGTGGCATGCAGGTCCCCCAAGGTCCCTGCATCCCAGAGTCCCAGGAAGTCCTGCCACGTAGGCTCCCTGGCTCGTGGCTGCATCTGTCCTGCACCTGTCACGTGGCCCTCCTTTTCGTCCCAAACCTCGCCCTGGTCTCTCTTACAAGGACGCCTGTCACGGGATTTAGAGCCCAGCCAGGGCCAGAACAACCCCATCTCAAGACCCTTAACTTAATCATATCTGCAAAGACCTTATTTCCAAATAAGGCTGCATTGACAGGTTCCAAGTGGCCACATCTTTCTGGGGGGCTACTGTGCAACCCAGTCCGGCTCATCTGACCAGCTGCCCCAACTCAGCCCGTGGATCCTGACCCTGAATCTGGTCCACACCCTCCACCTCCAGTCGCCCCGATCTTAGCAGAGGCCCCACGGCGTGCTCTGTGCCCAGCCCAGGAAGGTGGGGTGGTGGGACCCTCACCTGGCCTGGACCCTGCGTGCCCACTGGTCCCGGGTCCCTCCCTGCGCTTCCTGGAGCACGTGGGGGCCGTGCCCCCCACCCATGCAGCCAGGTTGGGGAAGGCAGGCACAGACCCTCCAGCACACACACGCATGAGCCCCCATGGGGTTAACCGAGGAAGGATGCACTGACTCTACTTTTCTCTATTTCTAGAATTGTACAAATCGTACTCACAGGTGACAGGAGAAAGAGCGATGAACAGAAAACAAAAACAAAATCCACCTACATTTCCATTTCCAGACAGAGGTAACTATTTTGAAAATTCCAGCCTATTTCCTTCCCCTCTTTAGCAGTGCTAGCAGGCGGACAGGGCGGGTCCTGTACCAGTGGCCACGCACACGTCCACAGGGTGGCCCACGTCCCGGCTGCACCCGTCTCCCGCCTTTGTGTGTTACACCAGACACACGAGGTCTTCTTTCTCATGCAGGGAGCACGGTGAATGCTCATCTGGATCCCCACCGCTGCTTTAAGCAATGCGGTCGCTGCACGCATACTAGCAGCTTCTTAGAGCCATGGATTTTAGCACTTCCAGGCTTGTGGTCTGGATTCTCCTGAATGAGTCGCAGCCGGAACAGGGACTGTCAGTGCCGGCTTCCCGGGTGGGGCCGAGGCGACCCTCATGGGGGATGACCAGCCCTACCCAGCCAGCCACGAGCCGCACACAGGCCTGATCCTTTAACCGTGTCTTTTCTCAGACCCACCCCCTCTCGACTCACAAGGTACAAATTTCCACGTGGCCCACGCAGCAGGGGCTGCACCAGCAGCTCCTGAGAAACGCCAAGACTTCCGTGGGGCTAGGGGAGGACTCGCTCATGGTCCCCAGTGACACCGGCCCCTGGCTGGTCTCCACAGCGGTCACTCTCCTGGGACCCTGGGGGAAACCTGGCATCTAGAGCCTCCGTTACGATGCATCATCTCCTCCTGCTTTGCTCACCGTGCCCACAGCCCTCCCCCGCAAGGCTGGGTGGGGACCCCACGGGATAGCGCTACACTGGGGGGCCGTACCCCAGGCCGGAACACCCGTGCACGGAGCCCGCCTCTCCAGGAGAGCAGCCTGACTCATGTCCCTTAATCTCCCCAAGGCCACTGCCTCACTCCCCACACCCCCGCGCCTGCTAGCACCCAGACACCTGACCTCACCGGCACGGTCACTGATTCCGCGGATTTCAACATCAGCCCCTCCCCGCCCCCACCCCAGAAGCAGAGCCACAGGACGCTCAGGGCCCTCGTGGAGTGCTTCCCAACTGGGAGGTCCCAGCGGCCATGGGGTGACGCTGGGCCCCTCCCACGGGGAAGGGAGGCCTGTGTTTGCCTGCTGTTCAGGACGCCTCCGTCAGGCCCCACGTCCACCAGCACACAGAGCCAGCTCCACGTCAGGGTCACAGCTCCAGGGGGTCAGCTGCTCCCTGTGGACCAGGGAGCTGGGGTGCTGCAGGGCCCGGGGACACCCCCCTCCCCAGCCCCCACCTCCTCAAGATAAGACAGGAATCAGGTTTCCTTGCCACGGAGACCAGGAGCTGGTGACACTCCTCCTCGGGGGCCTGGAGTGGTCTGTGCTGGTGCCCCAGCTGAGCCTTCTGGAGCTTCATGAACCTGTTCCTCCCCAGACGGGAGTGGGGTGTCCACCGCAGCTCTGGGCCTGGGGTCTCGCCACCATCCGTGGGGCCAGGCAGCTGGTGGGACAGGTTGTCCCAGGGGCAGGACCACCAGGGACAACGGCAGGGGACGCTGGTGGGGCGGCGGGAACAGGGCCTGGAACCTCGGATCTGGAGGGCAGACAGCGGTCTCAGGAACCAGGCCTCTGCAGGCCAGCCACCCTCCCCAACGTGGGGTCAGGATGACACGGCCATCATCATCAGGGGAGGCGCCTCCTCCCAGAAGCCCCTGCCACTCGCTGGCTCACTAACCATGGATTTCAGGTAATGCAGCCACTGGCCCCAGCATTTCTAAGCACAGATATTTTAATTACCAAAATAGTTCTGAATAGTCCCGGAACCCAGGAAACCTGTAGCGAAACAACAGTGAGCCCGGGCAGAGCGGCAAGCCCAAGGCCCTGTGCCAGGACACAGCACGCCCGCCCGGCAGGTGCTGAAGGAGGGGCTGCTGGGGAAAGTGTCCCGGGACGGTGAGAGCCTGGAGGGGCAGGCGGCAGGTGCTGCCCGAGGGCGAGGCCGCGTCTGACTTGCACCCAGCAAGGCATCCCCTCCTGGTCTTGTGCAGGCATGTGGGCCCATGAGGCCGGCCTGCCTCCTCTGTGAGACCGGACCCGGGCAGCGGGAGGTTTTCTCCTCTCCTGGCTGGTGGGCCGGGTTCAGGAGGATTCTGAGGCCCTTTCCAGACGTGGTGCAAAGGCTGGTGTGCATGATTTACAACACTGGCCTTGCTGCAGAAGGGCAGTCCAGGGGCTCGGGCCCAGGAGCTGGGTGCTGTCCGCGCCCCCAGCCCCCTCCACCAGGAAGCCTCTGCAGCTCCACGGTCCCCACCCGGAGCAGTTCGCACACCAAAGCCTGTCCTGTGTCCTCTCACGTCTGTCTGTGCCGACTTCAGTGGACCAACCGGCTTCTCAGCAGGTGCACCCAGCGCTGGCTCCCCACCCTGCCCCAGAGGACCCCCGGCCCCCAGCTGATGCTGCTTCCCATCTTCTTCCACATACCCCGGCCTCACGCTTCCTGCTGCGGGGCGGCCCAGGAGACAGACACCAAGCACAGCAGAGCTGAGGAGTCCCCAGGCTCCTCTCTGCTCGGGCCGGGCTTCCCCACCGAAGGCCGACCCGGACTGGACAGAAGAGCCCCGAGCCCAGCCTGTCGGACAGACGCAGACGCAGGTCTGGCTTCCCTCATCGGCACCCACCTGTCCCCTTCCTCCTGCCTCGAGGCCCAGGGCAGGAGGACAATGCCGGGCCTGCTTCCCTGGCATCCGCCTGACCCCAGGAAGGGACGCGCAGCCTGATGCCCGCAGTGCTGGCCCAGCCCACAGCTCCTCCATAGGCCCGGTGACAGGGACTCACGCTTGCAGTCGGGGCTGCCGCGGCAGCGTCCAGTGGGGCCTGGAGGCAGGGTCCTCGCGGGCACTGGCAGAAGCCAGCCAGAGCCCTTCCAGCCCCGGGGAAGCCAGACGCGTCTGCAGCTTGGGAACCTTCGGTGGTGGCCCATCTCAGGGCCTGTGCCGGCCGCCACAGCTCCACGGAAACCGATGGTGTGCAGGCCTCTGCCCGAGGAGGGACATTCCAGCTGGCTTCGCTGGCCTCTGGCTCCCTTCCTCAGGAACACCCGCTTCGGTCTCATCCTGACGTCGGCTGCCCCCACCCGGGGGACACCAGGGAAGCCCTCCTGCATCCTGGCAGGTGCCCTTCACCCGGGGACTGCACGGCTGGGCTCCCGCGACAAGAAACATGCGTCACACCTGCACGATGGGCCCCCACCAGCTCAGGGACAAGCTCAGCCCGTGGCCCCTGGCTTGGAGGGACTCTGACGGCCATCTTGGGCTTGGGGACAGCTCGGGTGGAGGGGACAGTCCCCTGTGAATGTCCCTGCTTCTCGAGAGCATGCCCTTGCTGGGAGACCCCTTGCCACCAGGACATAGTCCCCGGGTCAGCAGGTGGGGTCCCTCCAGCCACGACCCCGTGTCCTTGGGGAAGGGTCCTGAGCAGGTGGTTCCTGAGCCCCGTCGGCCCCAGGATTCTCGCCGACACCAGACACCCGCCCGCCTGCGACGGCCCTAGGGGGCACGCCGGGGCTCCCGTCCCAGGGGGTCATTCCGCCCACCCCGGAGAGGCACGTGTTCTTCACGGCGGCGGGCGGGCTTCTCGACACTACAAAGCATCGTTTAAAAAACAAAATGAAACTGTCCAGCCCCTGTGAGTCCAGTGAGCACTGTTCTCTGTTCTTCATTAAAAGCTGGTGTTTCCTGTCAGGTCTGGACAAGTGTTCTGTAGGAAGGAGCCCAGTGTTCTGGACTGAGAGTCCCAAACAAAGGGTCCTAATAAACAGCAGCCACATGGGCACCGTGAGATGGGGAGGTGATGGCAGCCTGCTCTGACAGGCCCGGGATGAAAACGGCCGTTG